TTGAGAGAAAGTAGTCAACAATAAGGAGGACAAGCAAGTAAATGAATGGGTTGCATTTAGTAATGCCGACATTGGGTCTGGAGTTATAGGCATCTATAAATTTTGGCTTAATAGTTGGAATACACCTCTCCAAAATACTGCTACTGTCATGCTCACCTGCGTCAAAGCAAAAGTTCTTAGGTGAGTCCAACACAAACAATTCACCTGCTGCTTTTTGCTAAAAGGCAAACATCTCCAATGAGACCGAAATTAGTATTATTATGACTCCCTACACACTTATTAACCATTAATAGGGTAAACAAGGAATGGGCGGCAGCATTGTAACATTGGTGTTTACCCTAGTACGGATTAATAAGAAGAATCTATGATCTGTAGCATAATACAAACACTAAATTCATGGAATGGATTTATATTATGAATTGATCACACTTAAATTATTTTGTTATAAAATGATGACACAAGTGGGCACTTAATGATGAACTGTGGTGAATTGACAACCAAAACTCCTAAAAGTAGAAAGAATCAAACGATGATACATCTCAAAACAGCTCTCTTCCGTCTACTGAATGTAAAGATACTGACTCCTAATGAATATATACTTTAATGTTATGATGTTTGTAGAACAGAACCTATGTCTGTCTCAGTCTGTCTCAATATGCTTTCACTTATATGCGTTTAGTAAGTTACTGACTTGCAAGATTGGGTCAAAAAAGCAGGGGGGATGAGATGGGGGGGGGGAAATCGCTGTCCAGTAGAGTATACAAAAAAATTGTAAGTGATTTTTATTGGAACTGATCAGAAATATAGTGTTCATATAAAGTTAACCAAAATCTGCTTTTATGTTGTTTTAGGCATCCAAATATAAAAGGTTGTTTTTAAAGCTTGGTGTGGATGAAAGTAACTTTTATAGTTGAACTTTAAAGCACAGATTACCATGCAATCAAAATAAAGGGTACATTTGTACGTAAGTGATAATAGACTTTTGGCTCAGCAAAAACGTGACATACCAACAAAAGTAAACATGACATCCAAATATGTATTTTTGTATGTTTTTCTCTTATTTTCTTCCAGGGAATTATTTTAGTATATTTTAGTCCTGTGGGATGTGTTTGTAGGCACGGTTCTGTACAAAACTGCATATCACAGCAAAGCCAGTCCTTTGTCAGTATGTATATCTGTGAAGTTTGAAAGAAAATTTCAGCAATTCCAGATTGTTGTGAAAGCATTTTCCATTGTATAAATGTTGACTTTTTTATAATGACTATTTATGTTAGATATGATTCATGTTCCACATTTGCACTAATGGTAGAAAAATGCACGAGATAGCTTTTCTGATTTAAAATGTTCAATGTCTGGTTTTCTATCTGTTGTGGATGATAAATCACATCATCCTTAGCAAGCTGACAAAACAATGTTACTTACAAAGAATTGCGATGACATTCTTACAGGGTGAGTAAAGTCTATTTCGTATCCTTTAGTAAATGGTCACTATTGTCTGATTATGTAAGCTGCATAAAAAGATAAACAGCAACAAACATTGATCAGCAATTAGAAAATAATGTTGGACGAAAAAAAAACAGAACCCTGTAAGTCAACTGAAATGGTGAAATTACCAAAACGGATGTCTTTTTTCTTATATGGGAATTTGTATGTTTCTCACTTCTTGGTTTGCCCGTTATTGGGACAGAGTGATTGTGCTGTACTGTGTGTGTATGTGTTTTCACTGGCTATAAGGTGTGTGCATCTATGGGCTGTAGAGATTGATTGTGTGTGTGTCTGTCTAGTGGTTGTAGAGAAAGAGAGAGGAAGACTGTGTGCGTATATGTCTATGGAGTGCAGTGTTTCTATAGGGTGTAGTGTGCATGTATGTGTATAGGGGCTGTTGTGTGTGTATGAGTGTATCTAGGACAGGCATAGGCAACCTTCGGCACTCCAGATGTTTTGGACTACACCTCCCATAATGCTTTGTCAGCATTATGGGTGTAAACACATTATGGGGGATGTAGTCCACAAAATCTGGAGTGCCGAAGGTTGCCTACCCCTGATATAGGAGCTGTAGTATGTTTGTACACGGGCAACAGGGGGTGTTTTTGTATAGGGGCTGTAGTTTGTGTGTACAGGGTAGTGTGTGTTTGTATAGTGGTTGCTGTATGTGTCTGGATAGGGGCTTTAGTGTGTGTGTGTGTATGTGTGTAGTAAGGGCTGTAACGAGTATATGTGTGCCTTGTTGACCTTGGCCTGGTTAGCCCGATGGCCAGTCCAGGCCTGCATTGAATAGTAAAATAATACTATGAATTTATTAAAAGATTTAGTGTCAATATATTTATAAAACATGTTATGGTGTAGGTTTGCGCATAGGACATGGTATAAGACAAGTTAAGGGTTTTGGAGAAGCTTAAGTCAATATACCTAAGAGAGAGCATAAAATATACACTTGGGCTTTGGCCCTTGCTCTTTTTATCTCCTAGCAACAACCTTGCATGAGAGTCCCATCTGCACATACCATGCGTATACGCTGTGTTTTTCTCCACAAATGTGCATAGAAGAGCAATCATGAACTGAGATATTTTAGTCGCTTTGCTGGTAAATGGCACTAAGGGAAATATTTGCCAAACAAAAAACTGTGAAAGTATAATTTTTATTTCAAATATTTTTAAAGCATTTTTGGCAAAAAAACAAAAAACAAACATAAAAATCCCAGCTTGTAGTAACCCATTAATCAATCCCTCGCACAATTTTTTTTCATTGCATATTATCCTTAATATCCTTAATAATTCAATGCATATTTCCAATGCAAACATTATGAAAAGTGTTATAAAATATAAACAATGTTAATTAAAGCTGCCTCAGTATTGAATTATGTTAGGGGTATGAATATGTCTTGCAATTCTAGCTCAAATGCTTATTTTCATTTGAAAAGATTGCTTTTTTAGACAAGTGATAATGACAAGTATGTTGAGGTTTTGAAAAATGTTTAGGGTGCCAGCAGTAGTCAATTAGTATGACACATTACTGTCTGTTTGCATAATCCTTTGTAAATTAGGTGAATTATCATAATGAAAGTTTAATTAATGTTATCTTTTCCTGTCAACATTTTTAAAATTATTTATTTAAGCTACTCTTGCTGCAATAACTGCTTTGCATATAAACAATATTTATATTTTTTCCATTTTATTTGTTCTTTTGTTCTGTCTGAGAATTATACATTATTGATGTGGCGAGTTTGAAATTTGATATCTTCAACCAAATGATATGCAAATTTTCGCACACATTGGTCATGTTTCCCGTCTCGTTGGTAAACAGCTGTTGCTATGAACAACAGCAGGATTTTAATATTGACGACGGTTAACTGACTGGCTTCCAACCTTGTCGCTACTTTTTTCCTGCTAGTCATTGATAACATCTGCTCGCGGATATTCCAGACTAGTCACAGGTTAGTTATTTGCTGGTAAAACACAGAAACATGCATTATGCAAGTTGTTACCATAACAACCACACTCTGCTGGTAAAAAAACTCACCTTGAGCATGTGTACTTCCCTCTGCGACTGGCCTTAGCAGGAGATAGTGACAGTGAATACAATGTATTAAACTGACATTTTGTGCTATGATCAACACTTATTTATACAATGTTTGAGGTCCATTTCTACTATGGAAACTATTCATTTTAATGAAGTATGCATTCTTTTAATATGGTTTGACATGATCTGTAAGGATTTCAATGTAATTTTGATACCAAACATTTTTGGTATAGTATGTGTAGGGATTTCATTGTCAACTTTTGCACCTGGCCGAAGCTGGTGATACGTTTTTTTTGGTTAGCTGTATCTGTTAATACGACAGAGTTGGCAACCAGTCATTAAGTAGAGGTTAGTGGCTCCCATAGAGAATAATGGTAGTCATTAAATACTACTTAGTGACTGGCCTGAGCTGGACTAAACTGGATTGTGATCTCAATGCGGTATATCAATAATATAATAGAAAATTGAGCCTCACCTAAAAAAGGGTAATACAAGTAATAAGTGTAATTATGTAATTTCTTGAGAAGTATCAGTTCGTCCTTTAAGTTCTTATTAAATTTAACCCTTCAGAAGCACTGGAATCATTGAGGATTATTTGGTTTGGTATTGATTCCAGTAGGTTTGTTAACACTGTCCACTGTTTCTCCATGTGCCTGCCCTTGGTATCACCAAGGTATGGTGGAATGATCAGATGCATCTTAAGTCTATAGATACCCTCTATTAATCTCTCGCTTCGATCTCTCAACTTAGTTTATCTGTCCATCTTACAAGATTACAAGACCCACATTCCTCAATGTCTCTCTCTCTCACTAATCACAAACTCTGAATCCTCTCTCCTCAAATCAGTTGTCCACTACTCTCATTGCCTCCTTACTAGTAGGCAAAAGCTTGTTTGAACACCGGAGTGGGGAAAGAGGTGGCTGAAGAGATCAGTAATAGGAATTTTATATTTTCATCAAATGCCTTCTCTCAGAATTTAGAATTAATGGACTTGACAATTGACACATTGTTGGTATAATTTAAAAGATGTCAAATTGGAACTGTGGCATCACATACTTCTGTTCAGGAGTTAGTAAAATTGACATATTTTAGGGGCAGGGCCTGACTGCCAAGCTGGACAGATGCATGGTCCATAAGGTCCTCAGCACTTTTTGTTTCAAACTGCAATTAAACTAGCTTTTCAAGCCGACCTTTTACTCCAGGTGATGATAGGTGAGAGTAGAGACTCTTGTGCACCTCCAACTGAAAAATAAACCACAGATCTGCCGTCCGATGGGCAAAACGTGAGGCCTGGCCTGGGAAGTTGACAGGGAAAGCGACCGGCCTCCCGTTTCCTGACCTGCCTGGATCTGTAGTGATCTCATTTAAGGCCCCTTACTCTCCCCCTGTGCTCTGGTGGGATCATCCTGGCCTTCCGCTGGTCTTGAGAACCGCAGTCCTGCATAAAGTGGCAACGCACCCTGCAGACCACACTATGCAACATGGCCGCTCCACATGTCCCTAATATACGGAGCATGGCGCCAGAACAGGCCAACATGCAAGGCTGGCAATCCCAAACTCTCACTTATCTGGATGCTGTCCTCGAGCGATTCTGGGCAACACAGGATGGACCTAAGGAGTCGGTTGTCCCAGGTATCCTGCCCACGGACAGCAAACTGCAGCGAAATGGAGAATGGAGGGAGTGGCATGCCCAGAGCGGAATCCTGACAACAGCACATGCTATTCGCATCATCTGCATACCTCCACTGAGTGCTCTTCAGAGAGTGGACCTGACAGGATACCCACATTGGCGGAAGTCAGCTAAACGAGTCCCACATCGCCATCATCAGAACCGCATTAAAGTGCAACGCAGTAGCTCACCTGGAAAGGACTCAGATCAGGTCTGGAGATGGGGGGTGAGCTTACCTGTCGCTGCCCTGTCACTCCCACAAGCAGACTCTCAGTGTACTACTAAATCCTACCTAGTCAGGGAGTTGGTTGACTGTCTTACTATACCTTACTGACATGCATTCATGTCCTATAAGTGCGTACCTGGTTCCAGCGCAATAGTATTGCAGTTTCTTCTGTTACACATGCTAACCTATTAATCTTAACTCTGTAATATTTATTTATTTATAACATATTTTACCAGGATGGATACATTGAGATTTCTCTCTTTTTCAAGTATGTCCATGTCTACTTCCGATATGTAATCCTCTGTTATTATTTGAACACATATTTAGACTACTATATTATCAAACAATGGTGCTGAAAACTTGACATAAAATGTTTTATCACATGCTAATCTTGGAATTGTCAAAATGTCTTTACTTGCATGTTGTTCCTTCAAAGCACCACAAAAATAAATCATTTTTATTTTAAATTCACATGTTTTAAATTGAAGACAGTAAGAGAATGTGCGGTTATGATGCAGAATGCAGCAAAATATTTTTTTCTGCTCAAACTATATAAAACAAATTGATCATGCAATAACAACATCCACTTGAATGAACTAAAATCTATACAATGAATAAAACAAAATAAGTGTAGAAATTCTTAGAAACATCTAAAAAGCATAGCAGTAGACATCATCATCTTTGGAAAAATATTCTAAACACAACTTAAGGCACAGGGCATTTTATTTACTAGCATGTGCATTTGTGGTGGCAAAGTCAGACAAAACAATTTGAAGCAGTACAAGGAATTTGCAACTTCCAATCCATATTTACTATTATTCGATTATCCTTATTTGTGTTGAATTGAACCAAATTGGCATAAATTGGAAAACAATATCTTAAATAAGTGTTGATCATACCATAAACAAAAGGGTTAAAAAAATATAAGTGGGGGTTACAATGATCCCCACCAATATGTGAGTGCATAAGCTCAGTAAGTGTCATGAAGGGTTGCAGATGTATACACCACCATTTATAGTAAATATGGGTTACGTTTTCCATGACCCATTGTTATCTAGACAAGAGCTATGGACATTTTGCCATTGTCCACACAAAGAACAGGAGAGAGAAAGGGTATATGCATCATAAAATTGGTTTATTGAGCTTACAATTAACCATGAGCCTTATACTTCCTTATTTGTTGACCCAGGAGTGGTGTAGACACAGTTCACAATAAAAAGCAGATGGAATTCCTACTTTGTCATCAGTTTTTCTCTATTATTCAAAACTGGAACTTATTATTAGAATTCATAGCAAATTATTATAATTCATTCCATAACACAAGTTAATTGGAATTGTTTCGTCATTATGATACGTAAATAATAGCAAGATCAACTTTGAAATTTGTTTCAAATTTTTTTTCACCGCATTACAAGTGCAAAAATATTTTATTTCTAAAGGTAAATATTTTTTAAAATACATTCACTGTGTTTGAAAGTATGAATCCAAATCTACCGAAATGCTGTGCTCTGCATGAGCACTCTACCATGCGCTCTGATTGGCAGTATAAGCTTTCCGTTGCGTTGTTTGATTTCAGCATGCAGAGACAAATTAACAGCATTTGTTTGCCTGAAACAGAGCCCCGAGCGAAAAAGTGCTGTAATCCGCTTTGCCGTTCGAAGTGTGTGTTTTCAGAGTGATTAACAGACTTCAGCTCAGCGGGATAGAGACCAAAAGTGAGCGTGAAGTTAGCATGGTATTTTAATTGCTTGCAGCCTTTTGCCTCATTTGCATGACAGTCCTTTCAGCAATTCAAATAAACAAGCTATTTTAACTAGACGTAAACTGCTTATTGGTTGTTATTGAACAGGACATGAACACATTAATTTTTCAAACTAAGATGACCTCAGTCAGGCCTTTGATAGCAAGATGAAGAAAATCACAGTATTGTTTTATCTCAGTTTATATGTTGCACTGAAAAGGCCATTGTGATTAAACCTCCGTCTGACTGAACATTCCAATCATGTTGCTCTTGTATATAGTCTCTGCCATAACATCCTAATTTACACTTATGTTAGTTTATCTTTAGGGCACCTTTAATGTTGGTTTGCATAACATTTGTTGCTAAACATTTTAGATCCACCTGCAGATACTTTAGCTATCCATTCTCCTGCCTATTAGTACTTCACTGAATACATGTGTCTACCAAAATTTCCCATTCTACTCGATTTAGTGAGCTTTCCGAATGATTTAATGCTGTTAGAAAAACTTTTTCTAATTAGCTGGGTTATTTACAAAAGTGAGAATTCAAAGTGAATTTCAAATTTGAAGGGAAACTTTAGTCACCAGAACAACTCCAGCTTATTGTATTTGTTCTGGTGAGTATAATCATTCCCTTCAGGATTTTTCGGCAGACACTTTATTTTCATGGAAAATGCAGTGTTTACATTACAGCCTAGTGATAACTCAACTGGCAACTCCTCAGATGGCTGCTTATGCTGCTTCCTTGTGCAGTGCTGCAGAGTAAGCAGCACTGACATTCAGTGTCTCCTTCTTCTGCATGCAGACACTGAACTTTCCTCATAGAGAAGCATTGATTCAATGCAATTCTATGAGGAGATGCTGATTGGCCAGGGCTTTGTTTGGCTTATGCTGGCTAAACCCCTGATCTACCTCCTTGACAATCTCAGCCAATCAAATGATTTCCTAAGGGAAAGCATTGTGATCGACTTTTTCAAACACTTATAATGATGTCAGCCAAGCAGGTAGTTCAGGGCCAGAGCCAGCAGCAGCAGACTGGAATAAAAGTAAGATTTTACTATATTTAGGGAGGTAAGGGTGGTCCAGAGGGACATGTTTGTGTTCCTGGCCCTATAGTGTTCCTTTATGGTCAGAGTAGCAGAACTGAAAACATAGCTGACTTATAGAGTTTTACCAGTTAAGCTATTTTGACCTTAAATGTGATATTCACTTTGAATTTACCTTGAAATTCCCACGTTAGTGAATAACCCTGTATTTATCTACAAAAATTCTATACTTTAATTGTGACTTCTGTAGATAAATCCTTTGGAAAGTTTTTTCTAACAATGTTGAATCATTTGGAATGCTTATTAAATCAAGGTCTTATTACCTGCAATATAGAGGTTTAGAAGAGGTGACTGTCAACTTCCTTTGATTGCTGATACAGGCCCTCTGGGATGTATGACTAAGTGTCATAACCTCTGAATGATCTGATACTCCATTAATGCTATTGTTGAGTTCCAAAAATAAATTGAAAAAGTATATACAAAAAATGGAGGTATCAGATAGTGCAGTATCACTTGAAAATAATCATAAAATAAAAAAAAATAGTGGTATAAATTCCAACATTCTATGTAATATAAAAAACAGTGCAGACCAGAATGTCAAGTGCACCTCAGTTCTACAAATTTCAATGCCCGCGCATTGTACATTGAAAAAGGGTTGTCTATGAAAACATTTGTGTGTTTTGGTGTTCTTCATTAAAATTTGTATCACTGAGGTGCATTTCACATTCTGGTCTGTGCTTATTCAGCTTTTTTTTTGTTTTTTTATTTTAAATTCTTTATTTTTGCTGTGCATGTGATAACAAAACAGGCTTGTGATGCCACGACAGCTATCTCAAGCATTTTGAATATAGGCACAGGTGATCTCTGGCATAGCATTCAAAGGACAGACACAGTTTTACAAAATTATAAGTCAAGCTAAACAAGTATGTCTAATTCATTGGATCATGCTGGAGTTGTCAAGTTGGAAACATTAGACATATAGAGATATTAGTAATTATGTAAAAACAAAAACAATATTATGTTAATAATCACACAAGCTTTGCTGCTGCAAGGGTACACATGAGACCGATATATAGATGAGAGTGCCGCCACTTGTATATAACATGCTGGTGGCAGACTGTGATAACTCAAGAATAATTAAAGAAAAATACCAGCTCATAGTAAAGTTGCACAGAGATGCAGTAGCTCTCAGGCCAATGGCTTAATTCCACCATGCTACATATTATAAGCTGGAGTAGAGAGGTGTTCATGTAAATATATGAGGCACTGACATTAAAAAAACAAGCAATGAAGAGTGAGACACTCAATGCATTTGACTTCAGGCTTGTCCATATTATGGGTGCATCATACTATACGTGGGACAAGGTAGCAGGTTCAAAAGAACTGTAAAAGCAACTGGCACATAATAAAAATTATAACTGTAACATGTAACATTAAAACGTTTGTAAAGTCAACCAATATCACACTTGGGTGAGTGGGAGATCTGGACAGTTCATCACAACAGCGCCCCAAATATCTATCACTCCAGGCCTGATTGAGAACCAGCATTTGACGTTCACTTACTCTCCCACTCCCAGTGGTCTAGTAACTTCCCAGAGAGCATCCTGAGCTACTCCACGGGTGTGAACAGGGCTGAGGGCTGACACCACACTGGGTTCCTGTTCCAGAAGGAGAATGATGGGATGCAGCACTGCCGCTAGTTGCCTCCTCCATAGGTGAGTTGAGTTGGAGACTGTGTTGGTATATGCGTTGTAAGAAGTGCTGACAAATGGAGTCAAACACCATGTTGAAGCGTGCTTCCCGCTGCTGCAAATGTTCATTGCTAGTTGCGGAGTGTCTGGGATGGACACTATTTTAGATCACCATGTGTCCGTGTCGCCTCTGTATTGTGCGTGTACAAGCTTCTTGGTGGGGACCGGGATAACCCCCACTGGCCCACAGGGAGGGAGGAGTATGGGACCCTCAGAGTAGTCAAAGTATAGTCAGGCTGGCCAAGCACGAGAGACTGGCCGCGCCTCCCATCAGGTCCACACACAGGCTGCACGATTTCTCTGCTGGTCAGAAGGATCTGCAGAGCTGGTACCCACAAAAAGCAAAGCACCTATGACTCCTTATGCAGGTAAGTGAAGCTTGATGCCAATTTAGGGCATTAAAGTAGAGATTATTTGCGTTTAGAGGTAAATTTCAGCTAAGCTTAAGTAAACTGCGTCATCTCGGCTCAGCAGTCAGGCCCTGCCCCCCCCTTATTCTGTTTTTTTTTTTTATATTGCATAGTGTTGACTTTCATGCTGCTTGCTGCTACACAGTTTTTACTGTATTTAC